ATGTAAGTATTAATTTCTTGCAAAAAATAAATAAATCTTACCAACCCCAAACTTTTTGATGATGGCATACATTTAGCACAAGAGTGTTGACAAGTTGGGGTGAAATAAACAAACTGTCATTTATTACCCTCATTGGTTCTTTTAATTTTGCACTCAATCAGAATTTCTAAGCGTGATAATCAATCTTCGCCTCTATGTACGGAATTCTCTCCATAATCACGCTTGGTGACTGATTAATTTGTCATTAATAAACATTGTCTCTTTTGGCTGTGGCCCTGTTCCCTCGGGAGCCAGGAATTGTGTGGCTGTGGTGACTGTTGTCAGTGTGATTTGCATGACAGTGGTTGACGTTTGTTTCTCAGCGATTTGCCAGGGGCAGCTAGTGGCCAGGTCTCCGAGTGCCGAGAAAAGCATGGTGGCAGCTCTGTCTCTCACTCTGTCATCATCAGCGCTGCATGCGTGTGTGTGTGTGTGTGTGTGTGTGTGTGCTGCTGTCAAATGAGGCACAAAGGAACATTCAAATCATGTTTCTCACACTTCCACAAGCACCTTGAGGAAATAATGGCCCCAGTGCTGTAAAGGGCAATGCTCATTGGTAACGGGTATTACAGATTGCCAGAGCTGTATCCTAAAGCCTCCCCAACTGTATGGCACATGTCACACAAAGCCTTCATTCACACTAGAAGTCTACGCATATTACAAACGTGTTCAACTGTCAAACGTATTAATTCTTTGGTGCGGTGCGAACATGCCCACGAATTATGGCAGAGCATGAGACGCTTTTTGTTATTTTGTTGTTTCAGGACGCAGTTCAGCCTCTCATATCTCAATCTCATTTGATGTTGAATTAGTTTGGCATCAGCTTCACATAACCTTATAGGATTGGAGCTGCCGTGCTGCTATGGTCAGAATATTGATAACAGATGTTCAAATGGCTTATCAGGTCATTGTTCGCATGCCAAAGTAATCTCTCATTATTATCTGAGTTATTGTTATTAAAAGCTGTTGTTTTTGTTTGTGTACTTGCATTTTTTTTTATTTCAGAGTTTATTAAAGATTAACAAGAAAGATTGTTTGATTTATTGATGCTATATTGAAGCCATATTGTTTAATAAATGGATGTTTTAGACATTTTTAAAATGCATTTTATCAAAAATATATGGAGAAGGATATTATTATATTATATTATATTATAAAAATACTGTTTAATTTGAAAATGGTTTCTATGCTGGCATTTTTCTGTACATGTTTGAATGTGAAATTAAAAGGTCCATCATATAGTAACTTTTTTGACTTGATTAATTTATTGTCAAGAGGCATGTTAAATTTTAATTGAATTTAATTTACTTTTTTTTAATTAAAAACAAAACGGACATGCACATTTTCTCTGGACAGCTGCAGGATTGAGACGGTAGCGTTGTTGAAATGGAGCGCGGCACAGGGAGAGATGTGGATGCTGTGGAGGCACACTGTCACTGTCTGTGTTTGTGACTATTGACTAACCTGAACAGAGAGACAGAGGGCAGGCTGGGTGTGAGCCATCGGCCTCAGACTGTCCTTCCCGTCCTCTGCTTAGAAAACATGTCAGACGTGTGTCCAGAGATGCCTGCTTTGGATGGACAGCACGTCTTCTCATTTCCTCAACCTCCAGGACAACATAATACACAGTGCTGGCTTGTCCTGATGTTAAGAAAACCAATGCAACCCAAAAATACAGAGATATAAAATAAAGCTTTTTAGTGAATAATCTCTACAGACTGTCTTTTCAAACATTGCCCTAATGACGAGTTTAACGTTTTAAATAAGCTTTAAAGAAGACTGGGGTTAGTTGTCATGCTTTTCACTTCAGTGAAAATTTTTGAACATCTCTTGTAATATTGCCAAGGAAAGCTACAGCTCTTTATATCAGTTTATATATATATATATATATATATATATATATATGTGTGAGATGTCTCTATACAATAATTTTAAGGAAAACACACTTAAAATGGTAACATTATTACATTTAACACAGACATTTGTTAGGTTTCAGATTTAAGTCCAGAATGCACTGAGAAACCAAATGAAAGGCATTTTAAAATTAATATCCATAGTGTGAAAGTTTATATATATATATATATATATATATATATATATATATGAGTGAGTTGCCTTTAAACATTTTATTATTAGCTTTTCAGCAAAATGTAAAATCAAATTATTATGAAACATAAAAGTCATTAAACAAATATGTAAAGGTTAAAATGCAAAGAATATTGAAATTGTGTAAGTGTATAACATTTAAAAAAAAATTGGTTTTAAAAACAGTTTAACCTTTCAGTTTAAATGTGAAAGCTATTATATAGCTAACACTTGGTATTCACTTGTTGATCCAACAATATTACAATATGGTTATTGTCTGAATAAAAATATGCAATTTTAATTAGTATGACAGAAATTAAGAGGGTTTAAAAAAAAAATGTGTTGGAAACCAACATAAAACAACCACTTTTTTAATTGTACTTTTAATGCCAAATCTCATTGTTACTGTTTGATTGTACAACTTCTCCCTGTGACAGTTAGCCCCGGTATTTTTTGAATGGCTATTTTCATTTTCAGCATTTTTATATTTTTAAAGACAAGAAGCTCAGGTTTGTCGTCATCGGCGGAGGTGTGTGTGCGTGTTTAAGGTTTAAAGTGCAGTTGCCGGTCGCGGTGAAGATGTGTGTGAGGGGAATGGTGAGATGGCTCAGGGACTAAGCCTGCTCTTAGTCTGCCATCTCAGTCAGGAAAGCCTCTGCAGATTATCCTCGAGCTGACAGCAACCAAAATAGAATGAGCCTGATTCCCTCTTTTTTGTGTATGTGTGCATGCGCTGCCCTTTTTCTTAGTCTCTGTCTGTCTGTCTCTTTCTCTCCCACTCGGTTTCCCTCCTGCAGTCATTTTTGTTTTATTCGCACACTCTCCGAATCCTATCCTCGCATGGCTTTTGGCCTACTTATTGTATTATCAAGCGTCAGTGTTTCTGGGTAAGCGAACGTGTGAATGCCGTTGTGTATGCGAGTGTGTTCGTGTGTGAATGTTTGCATGTGAGCGAGTGACCGCACCCCATTGATTTGTGAAGAAATCGGCTCCAAACTCGAAATCCACGATTGGCCCGGCGTTCCTTCCAGGGCTCAGCAAAACTTTTTGTCTGCCTAATGTTTTTAGGAGCTTCCAGTAAAATGTAACTGCCTTTATATTGGTGCCTCACCGATGTTCCTTATTTATATCTTTATTGACAGGCTCAAGAAATCCCAAGACTACGTATGTTTGAAAGCTGTTGCTTTTTCAGACCACCGTGAGGGATAGCTCCCTGCGTTTGTCAGTTTAAGACCTGGAGTGATAATAAGCCCTTTGTCTGTTTGTGTCTGTAATTTACAGTCCTTTTCTTTTGAATATAACGTGCTTTTGTTTAATCGTTATGCATTGAAACCTTGCATGTTTTCAGATGATATGTAAATCTAACAGCCTCCATGTCAGACACAGACTTCGGGTCACTGAGTTTAGACTCCGCGAGTTCAAGAAAACACTTCGACAATGGCGTAGCAAATGGCTGTTACATTATCAGACCCCAAGGAGGCTTTTCTGCGTAAACCTGCTGACCCGGCGCAGGCACGACATGCCCGTCTGAGTGTAATAAACCCCCGTAGGGGCTGGATGTGGGGGCCCAAGTCTCCCTCTCTCACCTTCCTAAAACACTTCCAGTTGCTGGCTCCCCTCGCTCTGCCGTGGCTCTGAGGTCGGTGTCGAATCTCCTGACTTTTTTCTTGATTGTATTAAATCTGCAAAACACAAATTAGAATGAATGTAAAAGAAATAAACGATGAAATGCTTGGGCTTTCTGCGGCTTCTTTGTTTTCTCGGCTCACAAGGATGAGTGAAGGCAGGTTAACAGGGACAGTGGGCCGAAAGCCATGGGGGAAGGGCTTTTTTTCGTATATACTATCCATTTCAAATTTAAATGGAGCTTCCTGCTTCATAATCATCATCTCCTTTGAGGGTATTTAAAGAAGCTTTATAATATAAAACATGTTTGGACATATATCAAGACATATTTTAGATGGTTAGAAGCAAAAAAGTTGAAACCATTTCAAAGTTACTGAACATAATTAAACATTTTTACAATAATTTATTTTAAAATCAGAAATCTACAAGAATTTACATTAGACATTTGTATCAGTTAACAGCAATTATTACAAAAGAAAATTGCCAGTTTACAATTCTTATCATACATTCTGAATAAATCAATAGTTTCTTTTCTAAACGTAATTATGCTGATGGACCACATACACAGAGGCTCTAAAATGCATTCAGACATTTAAAAACTGATGAATGTCTTTCTATTTCGCAAAACATTTCTTTGCTTTGGACACTTTCATCCCTCAACGTTCAGTATAACTAAGCAATTATGATTTTTTAAACAGCATATTTATTTAAGCAATAACAAGGATAATGGGCTGTTTTGTGTTTGTGCTGACTCGAGTTTTCAATCTTTGTTTTAGTTTAATGCGTTCTGTTTGTTTGTGGTCAATTCCAGGGCACTTTTGTTTTCTTTCAGCGGGGGTAATAAACCCATAACGCTGTCGGCCGCATTCATTTAGTTTTAATATCCTCCGCTTCTCATTTTTCCTTACTAATCATTACTGATGTTTCTTTGATCCTCAGCAACTGGGTTGTTATGTGAATTCTGAAGACCCCTGCTTCTGTTCCACAGCACTCTGTATCTATTTCTAATTATTTATTAGCCACTTTAATAGCAAGGATATTTTCAGTGTGTTGCTATAGAAACTATATAACAGTTTTCTCTGTTATTTTTCAGGTGGGGTTTTTAAGCATATTTGTGAATGTCAGGCTTGAGGAAAATGGTGGTCAGCTAGTCAAGTCTCAGGTCTCTATATACGGATACAAAGCTTGACAGTCTGTAAAAGTTTCAGTACAACTTTAACAGTTTTTTTTTCTCCTTTTCTCTCCTGCAGTACATAACAAATCATCAAAGCCGGGATTAAAATTTCGTGAAGGAGCAGCTTTGACTGCTGGAAGACTTAAGCGTATTAGCTTTAAGATGGGAGTTTCAAGTGATGTATGGCAGACTTCAAAGATGTTTTAATCTGTCAGTAGGCATGCTCTTGCACAGGCTATTTATATTAGGACACAGTGTTTCTTCTGCTTGCACATCCTAATCAATGGCTTCTCTGGCTAGACCCAGCCTGATGTTGGTGTTAACCAGTTATTAAACAGCTGCACTTCCTCTAGACTGTTTCCTCTGCTTTTCTTTAGAGTGGTCTTTAGAGGCACGACATGTACTTATTATGAATACTGATTATGAATAATAATTTTATGATTTAATGGTCACAACTGCATTTCTATTCATGCTACCGAAATGTATTTAGACTCTTACAGGTCACACTTAAAAATGTAAATTTCTTTGCATTATATCAGTATATCAAACCGAGTGTCATTTATTTTACAGAAAGACAAAACATTTGACAAAAAGAGTTTTGTTCGGTTGTTTGGACACTTTCTGGTTAGTGTAACATTCATTGTTAATGGGATGAATTACAGCTGTGTTTACTCTGATTGAACACATGTAGTTGACATGATATCTAAGAGGATCGGCAGTATCTTGTGGTGTGACATGCTATATATTTTTCCACATTTTCTTTTGTATAACCTTATTAATTGGGACACGAATACACTATAAAAAATTATATGATTTGTAAGTCATGGCAACTTATGTTTTAACGTTGACTCATCAACTTTCAACTTTTTATAAGTTATATGAAGTTCAACTTTTTAAGTCGGTTTAATGTTATTTAAGTTGAAATGACTTTTACAACCAAGTTGATATACCTAAAAATTTAAGGCAGCAACTAAAGTTTTTAAATTGAAATAGGTGGAATTTTTTACAGTGAATATTGCTACTGTTAAAATTAATTTGTTGCACTGCAGAACAATTTAAAATAATGAACTATCAAAGGAAAATGGTGTTTAAAATGTTTTGACTAAAATAAATGGTGACCACAGGACTTGAAACAAATTTTCCCTAATACATTTATATAAGAATTAAAATATTGATGAAAATAAATGAATACATACATACATAAGCGTGTGTAGATATCCACATCTGTGAAATCACATCCACTAAAATTAGTTGGTAATAATTGAAATAATATGCTATAACTAAAATAGCACAAGTTATTTCTGGAGCCCCAGCATCGTTTGTTTACAACTGCTACTTGGTTTAATATTTTTATGTAGTGCAGCGACAGTCATAATGTCTCACTTAAGTATCCAAGTAATTTCTCAGGACATTTTTAAGGTTTATTTCCTGCAGCAAATTGTAACATTCCTGCAAATACACAATCTGCTACATGTGAAAGTTTGTTAAATTGATAAGAAAGTGATCATTTCAGGTTTTGCTCATCCAAGTTCAACAGCATCCAGAAAAGATTAATATTACCTGAATGCAGGCGCTATATCATGATGACGTGGAAGATATTGTCATTCTGTACAAAATCTGAAGTACCACTGCTTTTTTATGACTATAAAAAATACTCAGTTTATTGATTTATCCCAAAATAACCTGGATAAAAGGAGTATAAAGCCAAAACCTTTTAATTCACCTCAACCTTGTTAATTGTAGTACTGTTCTTGTTGTTACTTAGAACTTTTGTTCACTAGTGACTAAGCTTTTATTTTTTCACTTAAATACTGTTGTTGTTGTTGTTGTTATTATTACAAATTATATTTCAGCCTAACAATTTGTGTGAAAGTTTTTGAACAATAAAGATTTCATAATTTAGTGTCACATAATTTTGTTTTACTTTTTAAATCCCACAATACTCTGGTATTCCCAATTTTAAATGCAATTATACATTCCAGCATATGAAGTTTTATACCCCACTGTATGATACAAATTAAGAATGTATGTCCTGATTTGATCCTGTGCTTTTTTCCTGTTTTTCGTTTTCCTCATCACTTTGTCAACTGTGTCTTTTTATGAATTTGCAAACAAACACTTAAAATTGAATTGACCCTTTTCCAGACACGTTTCTGTTGGGAATTTTAAAATATTGCCATGTGTAAACCCTGCAGGTGCTTTGAATGGAGAGCAGTGTTCTCTGTGAACATGGCCATGCCTGAGGTGAGGTTTTTTTTTCGCTCTGAGATTATTCATCTGTTTGTTTTGAGCTGTTCATTTGTCATCAGTATGACTTTCTTAGTGTTATGGAGGTTTATACTCAGAAAATGGAGAGAAAACAAAGACAAAACATCTCAATGTTGAAATGTTTCTCTTTAAATCTCTAATTTAAGCACTATAGTAATATAATGCTAAATCACTGTGAAAAGCACACCGTGATTCTGCCGCTGTTTTACCTGAAAGTGTTACAAACGGTTGGAAGTCACGCCTGCGTGATTTTTGGAGCTGAATGTCACTGTGTGTTTGTCCGAGACAGTGATGTCACTCTCCTTCATTTAAAGTGAAATGTGGCAGATTGATTTCATGCATCAAGGAGGAATCTGAATGTTTTCTGTGCTTGGCTATAAATAGCAGATAACGGCTCTTTCCAGTTCCAGAAATAGGTTCTGTGGAATTGGATTCCAAGCTGAGCAACACTTTCCTTTTAAACAAGCAAATATGCAGGACATACATACATTACCATGTTGAATTAAGAGTGCCACTTTTGAACAGACTTGGAGCCCTGCCACATCTACAAGATGAATTCATCACTTCACAGTACAACACAAGGCTCTGGATCAGACATTTGACGTAACACAGCTTTTTCTAAATAACAGAAATGACGAATTTAATTGAGTTCAAATTTCAGGACTGAACTTAGAATAAAAATGAGTTGAGATTAATCTTATGATTACATTATAATTATTAGCAGTTTCTTTTGAGAAAGGCAAAGCAAATAGTATTTGTCTTAGTTCTGTCAATTTGTTGTATGAGCTGTGGGAGAAATTTCATACTAGTTTCAATGACAATTAATTTCCAGCACACAGAGACTAAAAGATACTTTCAGTCATTTATAGATAAACTTTATTTTAATATAAACTTTATTATAGATAAAAAAATGTAATGTCTGTGATTTATTAGTCAAAACTGTCAACAGATCAAAAAAAGTCTTGTTACAAGGAAAAGCTTGAGGTATTTTGTCATTTATTTTGCACAAACTGTATATTTCTGTACAAACGTTTTACTCAAATTTACTTTTAAAAATGTACTTAGATGAAATGTAAGAATTCAATTAACTTTTCTGATAGTATTCAGCATGCATGATATTATGTAATAGTCGTGAACCTATTTATTTGTAAAACTGCATAGATTGAATTATTAACAGATTTACAAAGAAAAAAAACCCTCATCTTTAAAACAAAAAATTACAGTCCTTGATTGGAATTTTCTGCCTCATAAAACCATTTTCCTGCTGTTTGTTTCTTTTTAATTAGATCGTATGATGCACAAGGACAAACAAATGATTTGTTTGGTTTAATTAGTCTGAAAGCATGTTTTTTCTTTCAAGTGCTGGCTAATTTTTGCAATCCTTTAAGTGCTAGACTAATTTAGGGTTTATTTCAATTTAATTTACTTCATTAGAAACGGTTTAATTTATCGCACATCATATGCAAACCAAGTAGGTATTTCAGATGCTTTCCTCACCTGGGACTGTTCAAGGGCATTAGAGATCTGCTTGAGCTTACTGTATATTCATCCACACACAAACACACACACACGGGCGATATAGCAGAGCTGTGTGTGGTAGCGGCTATGCGGCTTTGATCTGTGCGTTTCCCTTGTCCTTTATCAAAAGCAGCCTGAGAGGCAGAGATGTGTGTGTGCTGAAGTACGAGGCTCCATTGAAATGTTAAGAGTGCGCAACTTTCTTCCTCTTTTCTTCCTTCCCTACCGGCCTTTCTCGTATTAGAATAGTCTTTATTATGTGGGCAGAAAGTGAGGGGGAAAACGGGAGGGTGCGTGAAGGGGGCTCTCCTGTTTATTAATATAGGAGGCAGGTTCCCACACACGGAACAATGCGTTAGCCAAGCGAGGCGGCATTGTCGGAGCGGCAGAAACTACACCATGCTGGAAGTCAACCTGACATGCACGACGTGATCGGCTCATGTGTTTTACAAAACGCGGTGCGCGGAGCATGTGTGCTTCTCTGTGAAAAGCACACCGTCTACAGTTAATTCATGTTGTTCGTGAATGAAGCCGAACACGAGTCCTAATGCGGCAGACATGCTGGTGGAAAGACTAACGCAGAGTCAGAGGAAATTGCAGAAGGTATCGGCCAAGTTCAAATGCACTTTCACCCCCCGTCCCTCCTCTTCCCTTCCTGCCATTCTTCTCGCTGCACAAACGGCCGTCAAGCTAGGTACGCGTTCATTCATTGTGTGCGGCAGGGGGTCCCTCACTTCAAACCGGCCCGTTTAAAAGAGGGCTGCGAAGTCCCACGGAGTCCCCTAAGCCGTGAGCGGAGCAGACAGGCGTGACTGGACCGGCAGACATCAAAGTGGCTGGAGCCCTGCCCCTCCATCCTGCCCACACCGTGCCCCTGCCGCGCCCGCCCGGAACAGCCTTCATTAGGACACTGTTACATGGGTCACTGACACAGATAGAAGAGTGCCCGTGATAGAAAAAAAGCAACATTTGTGTTCATGCTGGTTTAATATGATTTTTGTAAATGTTTTTTACACCATTTTTAAGACGTTTCAATTTAATGACTCCAAAATTGTGGTAGCTATAACCATCAAGTAGGCCTAATTGATTGGTTTTAAAAGTTTTTAAATATGCTTAAAAACTTTAAAGGGGTCATATGATGCGATTTCAAGTTTTCCTTTCTCTTACCCCTTTAAAAAGAGTTAATTCAAGTATCAAGTTTCTGAAGAGTTGTACCACATAACATTTTACAACTTTCACCAAACTTGCCTTGTCATAAAAAGGTGAAATTAACTTGATTATAAAAAAATATACACCTTGAATTCATGTGTGGAAGTTTTTGAAGTTTTGCAAGGTAAAAGTATTTTATATTGAACAGTTTAAACATTTTTATTCAACTTTTTTCCCCCATAAATGGAACAGTTAAAGTTAGGCTACAACATTTACCTCATGGCTTTTGTGTGTTGACATTAGCATCTGTTTCAAACATTGAAGGAAAGAAAGTAAAAAAGTAATTCAAATATAAGGTGCAATTATTAAAGGAGTTTATTATTTTGTTTCATTATCTGCATGATACATACATCAAAGTTATTTTCTGTAAAGTTAATTTTCTTTTAATAGATTGTACATTGACACAGCTACAATAGGCTACATTACCTATTGTGTAGGTTTTTACTTTGAAACAGTTT